CTGCAGATCTTCCACTCCTTTGTCTGTTACAGTCAGCTTTATAGAAGTGACCCCATCATAAAACCCCCATGGTGTGTTGCAAACTCTGTGTTTGTGTGTGTATGCACGAGCACGTGAGTGCCTGTGTGTGCGCGTACCCGTATGTCTATGTGAGTGCATCTGACTGAGTGTGCATGTAGGTGTGGGTGCGTCGTAACAGTCAAAGCACTATGTGTGTGTCTCTGTGTATGTGACTTCCTGCCGGTCATAAAAGTAATCTCCTCACTCAATCTACACCAAATTCTTCTACACAACATAGAAAACAGAGTTAACATATTACACACACTGAGGCCGCCACTCTGCATCCACTGGGCCATTGGCCTCTTGTTGTCTTACATTTACAGATAAGGTGGAGAGTCTCCTGCAAACCTACTTCTAAGTTTATAACAATTAATTTGTTTTTATTAAAGGTACAAGCATCAGCATCAGCAGCCCCAACTGTAGCTTCCTGTCTCCTGTTAGGACAGCAGACCTCCAGTGTCAATAAATTCCTTTCCCTCTAAACAATTACACACCCTCAGGCTACAGCTAAGCCAAAACGAAACACACAGACAAATCCTTCCCTATTCCTCTGATCTAAACAAATTTAACACATCATATTATAATAATTATTTTCTTGTACTCACAAGAGACAGAATGATCGCGGCAGTTAGTTTTTCCACAGACAAACTCATAGTTTGAATTCTGTTCAAATCTTCCAGTATTATGACAATGATCGTGATAACCATTTTCTCGGTAAAGAGCTATTTATTTTTTCCAACAGCAGTTTTATTTTGCTTTCTTATTTTATTTTATTACAGATGCACTAAAATAAAAACCTTTAAGATTATCCGACTAGTAACAGATTGCATTTGTATAGTGCTGGGTGGAGGCAAGCTACATCCTTGTATGTGTTACAAAAAATAATATCCCTTAGTGAAAAGAGCACCTCGCACATATTCAGAAATTGGCCCCGAGTAATTTTATTAAAACACCCTCGGATGAGGTAATTTTGGTTTTGTGTGTTTTTACAATAGCGGATTTATTTTGCTTTCTTACGTTAATCTTATCACAGACGCAATAAAAACCTTTAAGATTATCCGACTAGTAACGGAATGCATTTATATAGTGCTGGGTGGAGGCAAGCTACACCAGCGCTTGTAATGAAAAGAAGAAGTTTCTATCTGCTTGTAACCTACAGGCTGGTCACCTCGTATGTGTAAAAATAACCCTTAGTGAAAAAAGTGCCGCGCCCGTATTCAGAAATCAGGCCTAAATAATTTTATCAAAACACCCTCGGAAGAGGTATTGTGTGGGAAAGAGTTTTCTTTTTTTAGCGTCTCTTTAACAACAGGGGAGCATTAGCAGAAACGCTCAATAGACAGAAAAACAGAAACCCTAAAAGAAAACGGCCTTGTTTTACGCACATCAAGAAGGAGTCAACAACCCCTCTAATCATTATTAGGGTTTTGGTGGATGTACATTGTCTCATCCTGGACTGTGGTGCTGACACTCACCAGTCCTTGGGCTCCTTCCTTCTGCTTAGCGTACAGCCTCAGGGTGCTGGACTTGGGGTGAAACCCTCCATGCATGGTAAGGAGCGTTCTTGTCTTTATGTCAGTGGCTTCTATCTCCTGCTTTGGCCAGCTTACTATCCTAGCCGGGTACCTGATCACGGGCAGGGCGTAGGTGTTAATAGCCTGGATCTTGTTCTTGACTCCTCAGGACTTGCCTGACCCTCCTCAGGTAATTGGTGGTTGCTGCTTGCCTAGGAGTGTCTTCATTGTTTCCATTTGCCTGTGGGATGCCCAGGTACTTGTAGCTGTCCTCATTGTCTGCAATGTTGCCTTCTGGTAGTTCAATCCCCTTAGTTCTAGGCATTCCAGGATCCATATGTGGGGCATTGAGTCATAGGCCTACTTGTAATCAATCCAGGCAGTGAACAGGCTGGTCAGTCTTGTCAGTATTTTATTTTTTAAAAAGGACTTGCTGGTTTGAAAGTCAGAATATTACAAATCCAATCATATGAAATCCACTCTGGAAAAATAAGTAAATACATACACAAATAAATGTAATTCTGGACTAACTGTCATGTGACTTCTAAATTTGCTATCACTGTCTTGGGTTTTCTCAGCACTTTCCTCACCTTGAAAGATTTTTTTCTTCTTTAAAAAGTTAGAAATACTTGAAGTATATACATTTTTGCTTGACACCAAACAATATTATTCACATACTTGTTTCATCAATAGAGTGGAGTCAATTTGTCTCTTTCATTTAAATTGACCAAAACAGTATTACCTATCACAGAAAAGATTCTTGTGGTGACAAAGTCCTTGTGATGTGCACTGGTTTGACCCTCAATGTCAACATTAAAGTTTACAGAAACTGCTGGATTTCTGGTAAATTACTGCTTTGGGGGAGTATTTTGTGTGGGTGGAAGGTGAAAGAGGAGGGAGAGAAAGTGAAGTTTGCCCTTTAAAAAAAATATATGTACACAATAATGTTGTCCATGTTTGCCTTAAAAAGACAGTTTCAGCTGTGCTTGTGCTCTGCTAGGAGGCATCATGGGGAGAACTGTGGTGCAGCTCACCCTCATTGGGCTGCAGCTGGCTTTGACTTCCACACTGCTAAACAAGGTAGGGTCAAAATACATAAACGGCCATAGCACCACTTTAAAGATCCATAAATTTAAAATTAAATATATACGGTTAAATAAATAGTTTAAAAGCCAAACGCTAAAGAAAACAAACTTTTTATGTACCTCTGCAATTAATATTTCACAGATAATGAGATATCTGAGGTGTGCGATTGAATATTTTGTGTCTCAGCATCTTTCTGTCAGTTCAACACCAAACTCTGTGGATTGAAGGTTCTTGTGACAATCCTCAGGATTATTTCATTTTGTTCATGTGCTGTGTGTGTGTACAAGTCAGCTGACACATTAACACTGGCAGTTGCGCATTACTTTGGAGACAAAAAGAAGGATTGGGGTAAGATGAAGTGTTCTGCCAAGCAATATAACATCATGTAATGTCCCATGAAGTGAAAGAATTCTGACTGTATGTGTTTGTATGTCTACCTTATCCTTTCTGTGCATCCACAATCACAGATCTCATTTTAATTGTTTGAGCTTGTTATTTGATGATGGTGTTGATTGGTTAAGGTAAATTTGGCTTGTTTAGTTGTTTGAACTATGGAAACATGTGTTGGATATTTCTAACAACTTCCATTCTGATGCATAAAAAGTAAAAGTATAAATGTAAGTGAGTGTCATGCTCTTTTGAGTGTGTGCCCTGAACATTAGATGAAAACTAATTTTAGGGTTTTTGCAGGGAGACCAATAAAATTCCACTGAAACCAGCCAATGAGATCGGTTAACCCTGTCGTGTTTTCTCAGGATGACTGGGACGTCTACAGCTTTCACATAAACTCCACAGTGACCAGTCGTTATGCCACCACTGTCATCACAAGCCGTGTGGCCAATCGTATGAACGAGTCAAAGGAAATTGAATTCCATGTTCGGATTCCCAAGAATGCCTTCATCAGTAAATTTCGAATGTGTGTGAAGTTAAAAGAATCTGTAACAATCCAGAGACATTTGCTAAATTCTACACTGAAGAACAAATTGCCTGATATTTAGTAGTGTGTACACAAGGACTTTCTTGGTCCTCTTCAGGTTTATCGATGGCCAAGTTTATGATGGTGTTGTGAAAGCTAAGGAGCAAGCTCAGCAGCAGTACGCTGAAGCTGTGTCCCGTGGTGAAAGTGCTGGGCTTGTCAGGTATTTAAATTCATTAATTAACTTACAGGTTTATGTGAAAAAATTCTCAGTAAATTTTTTTAATGTCTTCTTCTGTATCTTCAGTTCCTAAAATTAATTTTGTTTAACTGTGTGAGGAGGAAAAAAACCTTTTAGCAGGGATTAAAGTGAAACAATGACATCCCGGGTTGCACAGCTCAGTAGGTTAAATTAAAAAGTTAAATCTTACATGTCATATCCTAATTTATTGTATATATTTTAAATCAGATATTGAACCAATTCATGATGTTTTGCTGAATTCTGTTTTTCTGAAGGAGTGTACAAAACAATTTAAGTGTGCTAAATTAGCCACAGGCTATAGCTTACGTAAGTTTGTACACTTTTGAATGCAGTTGTCCAAATCCACAAAGAGCAGTGAAAACTGGAATAGTAGCACAGGTTAGCTGAGCACACTCTTTACACAAAAAAAAAAAAAAAAAAAGCTCACAAAAGGGATTAGTATGTGACTTATTACAAAGTAATTCTTTTCCCCACACTACATTGCATACTACCTGATCTTAGGGGTCCCCCCACCTGCCAAATATCACTTTAATCCTTGATTTTTAGTCAGTTTACTCAAAAATCAAGTTTGTTCTTCAGGAATAACTGATTTTTAAATGCATTTATATGAAATAATTATTGTTTCTGCTGCAGTTCTGTAGGGAGGGCTCTGGAGGAATTTAAGACCTCTGTAACTGTGGCTGCTCACAAAAAGGTCACTTTTGAACTCACATATGAGGAACTGATGAAACGCACACATGGCAAGTATGAGCTGCAAATTCATGCTCAACCCATGCAGCCTGTCAGAGACTTCAAGGTGACTTCCATCTTGGTATCTGTTCAGTGATTGTTTAGGAAAACAATGCTGAGATAAGACCACACATGATTAGATCTTCTGTTTTATTTTATTATACTTGTTCCCAGGTGGATGTGTACATTCACGAGGAAGCCGGCATCAATTTCATCGATGTGAAAGGAGGCCTGAGCACCAAAGCCCTCGCTAATGCCATCACCAAAACACATGTTAATAAACAGGTACAGTTATAACACAAAAGTTAGTTTTATAAACACTAAGAGTCACAGCAGTTTGCAATAAGAGGAAGCCTAGAAAAAAATCTATGCATACAGCAAAGAGATGTGGCAAAGGAAAAGGCTCTTAGTGGGTTGTATGCAGAGATGGGCAGTAACGCGTTACTTGTAACGTTACTGTAATCTGATTACTTTTTTCAAGTAACGAGTAAAGTAAGGGATTACTATTGCAAAAATGGTAATTAGATTACCGTTACTTTCCCGTAGGAACGCTGCGTTACTGCGTTACTAAAACCGTGATTTTTTTGCGAGAATGTCTCATGACAGTGACGTAAGCGAGTGCGCCGTTAGTGACAACAGCTGTGTGCAGATCAACAATGGATCACATATCGATTGTGGGAGAGAGTATGAGCGTGCAGCGTTTAAAGCGTGGAAGTACTGACCTTACTTTGAGTTTGATTCCATAAAAAGTGACAAAAACATTAGCGTCCATCGTGCGTGGGAAGAAAACTTCTTTTTACAGCGAAAAAAACCCCTAAACTTCCAAGCAAGCACCGAGTGCGCAACGACGTAATGGGAAACTCACAGAGAAACTCGCGGATTCTTCAACTGACCGCGGCACACCTGCACCAGGGTAAACCTCCGCCTACCGCAGTCCTGCTTTACAGGTGAAAATAGAGCAACAGGACCGCTGAGTCTTTGACTTTATTTATTTTCTGCTGTGTTTTACTTGCATCTATTTGAAAGAGTGAGTGTAAACACAAAAAATATTTTATTTTATGTGCTGGAATGTGCAGAAAATAGGTTTAAATGTTAAACTAATTTATTCAAGTCAGAGAATGTTGCATATAATTAAATTTTTGCTTGATGCATAAAGTTAAAAGATTAAAACTAATAAAACAAGTTTTAAAAAGAGACTTTTCCATTTGATTACATTTTGTATGATGGATTATGTAGAAAAAGTAGAATTGGGCTGAAAGATCTATCGCTTTATCACCTATTCAGGTTGTAAATCGTGTTTTTAAAAAGTAACTAAGTAACTAAGTAATTAATTACTTTTGAAAATAAGTAATCAGTAAAGTAACGGGATTACTTTTTGGGGGAAGTAATCAGTAATTAGTTACTGATTACTTTTTTCAAGTAACTTGACCAACACTGGTTGTATGTGAGGCTGGACACTAAGAAAGGAGAAAAGGACTTTGAGATTGAGAGATCAAACTGGAGAGAATGTGCAGCAGGTTAGCGTAATAGGTAATGGTATTAACAAATGAAGAGAGTTTGTTGAAAAATTGAATAAATAATTTGAGGAACTGAAGAAAATGAGACAGAAAGGAGGACAGATGGAGGAATGACAGTGAATCATGAAGTGGAGGAAGTTCTTAAGGAGGAAGTTAGGGCAGCTACGAAGAGGATAAAGAGTAAAAAGCCAGTTGATTCACATGACGTATGATAGATTGCCAAATAGAACTGTGAGACTGCATGAGAAACAGTGGTGATGTGTGTCGCTGAAGTGACAGATTTGTAGTGAGGAAAGGTGGAGGTATGCTCTAGAGAGAAGGTCGGCAGAAACAAGAAACATGACAGAATGCATGTGTGTGAATGAGAGATAGAAGAAGATAGTGATTACAACTACAAATTTTGTTAATGCAGTACCAACTGAATGCCCAATGATCACATCTGTTAAATACTGATTTCAACTGTCCCTGTGTGCTGTATCATATCTCTGGTATTAAGTGACATAATGTAACCAATCCTACAGTATTTGCATTGTTGTTTTGAGTCATGTTAGTCTTGAACTATTGAAGTCTTCCTGTGCTATATATGTCAGAATGTTGACTCTTACTCATAATAATGAATTCTGATTTTCTTTTAATATTTTATGCATTAAACGCATTACAAGACTTTTATTGAACCTCAGACAAAAAACTCGGATCCCGAGTTGTTGTTTTTTTTTCAATGGAGAGTTTAAATTGTTTAAAAATCACTGCATTTTCTCTTTATTTCTAATCTACAGTGTCCAAACCTTTTGGTAACAATGACTTGTATATGCACCTTTTAGATTTATCAAGCCAAAGCAATGAGAAGTACAGGACAGTGTTTTGACAGAAATAAAATCACTGACCTCTCTACCAAGTTCCTAAACTCTGTGATTCACTCTGTTTCCAGGCATGGGTGTATTTCTATCCAACAGTCGACCAACAGAAAATGTGTGACAGCTGTGGAGATCAGGGTATGAATGGAGATATGGTTATAGTTTATGATGTTAACAGGAAATTGATTGTGAGACATCAAGGTAAACCCTGATCAATTAGCAATTTACACACAACATAAAACTGCATGGGCCAGAAAAGGTTTTTCAAATCAGTACCATATCCTTTGTCTGGCTATTAAATAAAAATCTGACTAAAGCAATCTTTTTTCCTGCTCTTTAGAAATCTGCTGGGTACTTTGTTCATCACTTTGCTCCATCCAATCTTCCCCGAATTTCCAAAAATGTCGTCTTTGTTATTGACAAAAGTGGCTCAATGCAAGGCCGAAAAATAGAGCAGGTAAATGGTTTAAAGGGTCTGCTATGTCTATCATTTACTAAAAAACCTTATTTCTTTTAATGTCTTTTTTAAATCTTTTATAAAATCTGTAATGTGTAAATGTTGTTTTTGCCCAGACTAGGATCGCGTTAATCCATATTTTGAATGACCTGGCAGAAGATGACCATTTTGGTTTGATCACTTTTGATGGCAACATTTTTCCCTGGAAATTGGAACTTGTTCAGGCCAACAGTAAAAACGTGGAAAGCGCCAAAAACTTTGCACGCAACATTCAAGCTGGAGGATGTGAGGAGTTGCAGAAATCAGTATATATCTTTTAATATCAAACAGTTAACAGAATAATTATAGTACTGAAACTTTGTTGTTGACTTTCAGACACAGACATCAATCAAGCACTGCTGCAAGGAGCAAATATGCTGAACACGCATGACAGAGAAGGTTCAGCATCAATCCTTATACTCCTCACAGATGGACAGCCAACCAAAGGTTATAACAAATGACACCTGTACAAAAATGTGCACAAATACTTCTGGACTTAATGATTTTAGTCAATGATTTTATTGTGATTTCAATAAGGAGAGATCATTTGAAAGACCTGAACATGGTTTAATGAAGAACAGTTTGAGATTTGGCAATAAGACTTTGACAAATCAACATGGCAGAGTGGAGTCCAGTAACGGTAGGACAGGACTTCTCAGAGTCTAGATGCAGAGGTAGATGTAGGATCTCCAACTAGGTACAAATGAGGAGGTACTACAAATGAGTCTGAAAGGCAGGCTGATAGAAGAGCACTGAGAGCTTTAGCACTTGTAGAAGGCAGGCAAGGCTGGAGTGATGATGACAGCATGGAGTTTGGACAGTATGTGTAATGTAAAGAATACATTTGCAGCACAACACTCAAGAATGCAGGGAGATTAATGAGCACAGATCAGCTATTCAATATTTTTCGTTTTAGGTTTTTCTTTTATCAAGTGTGGGATTCCATTGTTTTTGAGCTGAACTGACTGTGTCTTATGTATTTTCAGGGGTGACAAATCTGGAGAAAATACAGTCAAATGTAAGAGAGGCTGTTGCAGGCAAATTCCCAGTTTACTGTCTGGGTTTTGGTTTTGATGTTGATTTTGAGTTCCTTAAGAAAATGTCGCTGCAAAATAACGGTGTGGCACGACGGATTTATGTAGACTCAGATGCTGATTTACAGCTGAAGGTATTTTGTATTCTTCCTACCACATGATTTGAAATCACTACAGATTTAGGAAGAAATTAGCATGATTTGCATCATGTCCACACTGTATGTAAACAGGGTTTCTATGAAGAGGTGGCAACTCCTTTGCTGACAGATGTGACAATGATCTATGTGGGTGGGACCAATCTAACCCAGACTAACTTCAGTCAGTATTATAATGGTTCTGAGATTGTGGTGGCCGGACAGATCACAGACAATGACACTGAAACCTTCACACCTCAAGTTGTGGCTATTTCGGTAATGTTTGATCTAAGATATTTATCAGCTGTAATCTTGTGAAAGTTTCTTTTCCCTGCATACTGACATTACAATATATTTTAATTATGACAGAGTAATAGAAGGTTAGTATTTTCTGACTCAAATGGCATTGTGGAATCTGGTGGAAGTGTGTCTGATGACCTTATCCAGAGAGTTTGGGCCTACCTCACAGTTAAACAGCTTCTGGACAAAGAGTAAGTACCATTTATGCCATCTTTTGTCATGGTCCTGAGTCCGTGACTCAGTGATTTTGTGTTTAGTGTATTTATTGATGTTATTATTATTATTATTATCTGTGGGCTGTTTTGGGATGGTTTGTGTTTTAGATACTGGGTTTCTGGGTTTGTGCTCCCTCTGTTGGTCCCTGGTGTTAGTGTTCCCCTTGTCTCGTCAGGTTAATCAGGTCCAGCTGTGTCTCCCACCTGTGTGTGATTTCCCAGTGTCCCTCTGTGTATTTATAGTGTGTGCCTGCCTGTGTTCCTTGTCGTGTCGTCTGTGTTCATCCTCTGTGTTACCCTGCGTACTCTGCATTAACCTCTCCGTGACTCCTCTATGTGCTCTACCTGCAGTCCTTCTCTCGTGTTTCAGGTTTGCCGTTCTATAGTTTAGTTTTCCCCAGTTTAGTTTATCCTTAGCTCTGTTTTGCCATCCCCACTTTGTGTTCTGTTTTCTGTAAATAAATCACACTGCATCTCAAGTAAGTGCTGCATTCGAGTCCTCCGTTTCCACACATCACACGGCTGCTGTCCCAGTTGTGACATCTTTCTTCTTGTGTTATTTCCTAATCAGCTACTTTTTAAAGGGCAGCAACACAAATTTTTATCTTCATTAACTGTTGAGTGCATAACTAATGTGGGATATTGGATAAGGCCCATCATATATTTCCCTGAAACCCAAGGTAACGTCTTTAGATCATTTGATGTGACTTGCAGTCCAAAAGGCAAAAGTTTGTTTGGTCAAAAGTAACATTAATAGTTACAATGTAGCATTTCCATCCAAGAGTGATCATGTTTGAAGAACTCATCGACCATTTTAAAATGTTTTCCCTGGCAAGAAACAATTTGTCCAGTATAGAGTTTTGAATCAGCTTCCGAAGTTGTGTGCTTATTCATGACATAGATGGCATCCCACGGTCTCAACAACTAAGCTGCAATTTACAAAACAAGTTAAAAATCTAAAGCTACAACAAAGACAGGAAATTATGTTTACTACAGCAGCAGAATACAGTTAAAATTCAGCATCTTGGCACTAAAGTCAACTCTCCCACAAATATGTCAAATAAAAAGAAGGCAGGATGTTTACATAACAATGAGTTTATCTATTTTTTCCCATGTTTCTATGTCCATATTAGATTCCACTAAAATGTTCTTTAATTTTCCAAAGTTGGGACTCAAACTGTAATTTTAAATTGCCAAGGAATAGCTGGGGACATGGAAGAATTAAAGATACACAAATATGTGTAAATTACTTTATCATATATTACTACTAAATCAATCGTTATATTTACTTAATGCTTTATGACACAGGCTCCAGTTATCTGGACCTGAGAAAGAGCAAGTGAAGAAGGAGGCTTTGAGTCTCTCACTGAAGTACAGCTTTGTGACGCCGCTCACATCTATGGTTGTCACAAAGCCTCTGGGAGAGACCATACATGTGCTTCATAAACCCAAGGAAAGTGAAGCACCACAGAGAAGGAAGCCCCCTGGACATCAATCCATTTCAAGACACCGTGGTACTTCTACTCGTCACAGGAGCGATAATGTTGGTGAGCAGCACAAACAAAGACGATGCAAAACGAGTAGTATTCATCATGACGTTTTCTTTTAATTGTTAAAAATTATTTTCATTATTATTTCATTATTTTCTCTTCCTAAATGCAGATATTTAGATTTCTCACTGAAAAAATTAAATACTTAAAAGAACTCTACACAAAAAATGACATTAAATATAGCATGAGTTTGCTTTTTTGGTAATTATGACTCTGTACACCACCAAAAGTTTTAGCTTTAATTCTAGAGTTTTAACAAAAACACTTTAACTGTTTAAGACTTTTTTTTTCTATATTTCATATTTTTGTTTATGCACCGAAATATGTCTCAAAGTGTTACAAATGTGTATAATATGATCCACAAGCGTAAACACAATGACATTTTCTTTGTCTATATTGTGTGTGACACATTGACGCACACAAACAAAAATTTTTTTCTCCTTATAGTCTCAGAAAACTATAAACATTTTCCTGTATAAAATGATTCCATACTGCACAGGGACAGCTTTACTACATAGAGATAAAGAAATGACACAAATTTGGATGTCAGAAATTATTACGACCACTCTGAGCAATTGCATTAGATACAGAGCAGCTGCTATCTCAGATACAGTACATCGTGGCCTATTAAAGAAGATGCCCATTTGTTTATGAGCCATCTCACTTCAACTTTGTCAGCCAGCCTCTTTCCCTACAACTTTTTAGCTGCACAAGAGGCAAGCTACAGACCAAGTCCACCAGTAGCAAGAAGTCAAGTTATTCTGATTATTCAATTTTTTTATAATTATAAAAGCATAATTTTATTGCACTTAAATTATTGAGTTTTTTTTGTCAGTCTAAGCACTTTTGACCATCTCAAGGGTTATCTAATGTGATATTAGCTGAGAGCAGAAATATTCAGGATTGTTCTGTAAGCTAACAATAATGTCAGCCTGCTGTTAAGGTTTGAGTGAGTAAAAGCGATTATACGTGTACTTTTAGACATTTTGTGCACAGGAAGATTTTTCTAATAAGAGAAAATGATCAGAATAGTTAAAAAGTTAACAGTTAAAAAGCTAAGTTAAAAAAATATATGTAAATGATCAATATTTATTCAGGTTTGGTATTTAGGTTAGTGCGCATTTGTAAAATTGTTTTACATTTGATTGAAATACTGGCATGTTTTTTTCCACATCAATTAATTCTTTTTTTCTTTTCAGCAACAACTGCTGTTGAGAGAGCCTTTGAGCACTGGTTCTCCTCACTTGATCCAGGTACTCTGTTAGGATAGAATTAAATAAAATGCATTTTTCTTTTTATAGAGATAAAAATGTCAACAAAAAAACCCCACACATTACCATAGTTAAGTATTCATTTTGACAGAATACAACAGTTTAACAACTGACTCTTACATACTGTACCTACATGCACATTTTCAACCTCTACTTTTTAATATGGTGTTTTCTACTTTAAATATTAAGACATTTTATTTCCCTAAAAATGTAGTTTAGTATAATATGAGAACCCTTAACTTAGTTTTAAGTACATTTTTTAAGGCAATGGGAAAAAATGAATACATAGCTACCATCTTGTACTACTGAATATAGTATACAATTTGATGGTATAGCATTAAACAGCAATACCCTACAGTTAATACTTAATGCTTAATTAATTCAAATAGGATTAAACACATTTTCATTATCTGACTCATCAGTTAAATTTCAAACGTTTCCCATAAATGTATCTGAACCTTCTCAATAAATATTACAAAAATGTTTCGTAGTTTGCAGCATTACTCCTCCTTAGTATGCCATTTATAAATACAGATATAATATTATGACTATGACTATGATTATTACTTGTACTAGCAGTGACCATGTATATGTAACATGATTTCTGTAGGGTTTTGTAAGCCTTACAATTTTTTGTGTTCAAACCTTCCATGCAAACCCTCTCTTATGCCTGCCTTTGTTGAAAGTATTTCTTGGAGCTACATTAGTTTAATTTTTAATTTTCATTTATTTTAAATGTTCTAATCCAAATTTCTTATAATAATAATAATAATAATAATAATAATAATAATAATAATAATAATAATAAAACAATAATAACAACAACAACAAAATAATATAGCTTCTATCATCATCTCAGTTTGCTCCATAGAAGCAATTCCTGCTTTAATTTGTTTTTCAAAAAGAATGTTTGGATTTACAAGAGGAAGGCACTTAGTTTATGACTTGATTCATTCATGAAACCTTTAGGCCATTTGAGTAGTTCATTATTATATACATAACTTGTTAACTGATTGTTCAGGTTTTCTCTGAATTATTGCAGTGTCTTCACCTTACAATACAAAGTGCCCTGATGTTGATGTGATTTGGTGTTAAATACATTAAATTAAATTGATTTGACTATACATGTAAATGTGATGCTTATTTCTTGCTTTCACGTGATCTTTTTGCTGTTCTTGTTACAGGAGAAATGATAGATATTTTACAATTTCTTAATGGAGGTATGATATGACACATGCTGCATACTATATTCTGATGTAACTACTGAAAAGATTTATACTGAATATTAAACTAACTGAAGTACAAATAAACCTTTGAACTAAAGCTACACTGAAATGAGCAAGTACAGCTAGGAAAGTAACTAAATGAATTGAAATTTTTTTTTTGTTATGTGCTGTGTTGTGTGTGTGTGTGTGTGTTGTGTGTGTGTTGTGTGTGTGTGTGTGTGTGTGTGTTGTGTGTAACTCACTTTCAGTGCAGCAGTATGATGAATTCGTGGAGATAGGAGTTAACACACTTGTTAACTGGTAATTCTACAGTGTGATTCTATAGTGGGAAACAGATGAAGTACTACATGAATGTGGCCAGTAAAACCAGAAAAAAAAACTGTAAATGTCAGTTCATTTTTTTATACATCACAGAAATGCTAAACATTTTTGCAGAATTTTAGTATTAGTCTAATGTTTTTTTTTTTTTTTATTACTACGACTAATTTGAAATTGCAAAGTAAATTAATCGCTGTTTGTTTAATGTTTTTTTTCAGATAGAGGATTTTACTTTTGTGAGTATTTGGGATTTATATGCTTTTCAGTCTTTTGTGATTTAAAAAAAAAGAATAACCTTATGAGAAAACTCTCATACCTGTGCAATCTACTGTTGACAGTATGGAGTTACATATTTTTTTTTTCAATTTAAAATTTATCTGACTTTATTTTCTTTTTTAATCCAGATTTAAATTATGTATTTTGTGTCACTTAAACATTGTGCTGCATGTTTTTGCTACATTTTGTTTTTACTTTGCTTTTTTGAGTAAAACATGTTTCTATCATTTGAAAATGCATAAAAAGTAAGTTTAGTTTTTTTTGTGGCAAGATGATATAAATCCTTATTTGACACAACATTTAAAGGATTGTTGTGGTTCATTTTAGAGAGTAATTTTTTTAGTGAGTATAATAGGGAATTATGATCCTTGTAATTCAAATACTACACTACCATTAACTCATGCACCGCAATTGACGGCTATAGACGTCAATGGCAGTGAATGAGTTAAGAGATTTCCCGCTTAAATTTATTACACCGGTAAAATATCAAATGCTTAGACTAAAAAAACCCCAGAATATTCCAAAGTAACATGAAAAAAAATCATATGAATTCAAAAGTAGTATGTAGTGACAATAGGGGGAGGAGGAAGAGAACCCAGAGCAGTGGAGGTATGCTCTGGAGAAAATTCAGTAAACAGAATACATTTGTATAAATGAGAGGTAAAGAGGTGTAACAGTGAAGCTGCCAGGAACAGATGTAGTGAAGGTGGATAAGTTTAAATGACATAACTGAAAAATTGCTTATTAATTGTTCTTCTACCTCACCCGTTTTCATAATACTATTTGGTTTTCCATTGAAATCAGGTTTATGAAATTGTGTGGATGTGTCTCTGCTTCAGTTTTTTGCTGGAAAAAAGAGTATTATATGCTATATTTTAGAGTTGTTTCTTTAAAGATTTTCTAAATTTAAAATGGTGTTTTTTTTAAAGAAACTAATGTATTTAATTCTAACATTCAGCCTCGCCCTCTGGATCTCAATCCCGCAAAAAACGACCTACTTTAAGAGGTAAATGTCTTTTTTGTAGTGTACTGTAGTTCACAGCTGTTATTTTCTATTTCTATATATGTAACACCAACCAGTGTTCAACTAATAAGGAACTGGATAAGCCTCTTCAGTCATTCTAATAATTGAATTATCTACATTTACATCATAGGTTGGGTAACAGTTAAAACTTAACATATCTGTTGAGTGTTTTGCTGTAATGCATCAGAAAATGTTGATGTTTATTACACAAATATATTCCACAGCCATACAATAAACTTTAACTTATTTTCTTTTGGCTTTGCAATATTAATGTATGTAACTAGCATTGTGTAAATCTGTTTACAGAAACTTTCCTTGATATGTTCATACCTCATTATTCACTTGATGGCAATCCTCTGCAACCAACTGATGGTACTGTATTAAATACATATAGTTGGAGTTAAATATATATATAATTATTTTTAATAATAATTTTCTGAAATTTTTAAACATCCGCATTAGGCATTACCCACTTTAACAGAAATCTGAACCTACAATAACATCTGATGTGCCAGGCTCAAAACTCTTATTTAATTCATTTATTTTGTTTTCTTTGACATATTAGAGTAAAAAAATATTTTCAATTTCTTTGTTGGTTTTTCTTTTGTTTTAACAATCACATAATACATGAGAAAAACAGCTAGGAAAAAACAAACAAATTTTTAGGAATGAAATATTCCATAAGTCAGGCTCTATATTTTATATGTAACAAATATATAACAAATCCCTCTTTCAAAAACCTTCAAGATTGTACGTTGTATGTTAATGAAACTGAAAACGAGTATGCAAGTGCTTTATTTTTGGCTAAGAGAAAAGTCAAATTTATATCTCCATTCTAACTCTGTATCTATGTATCTCTAGCTCCTCTTCTCCACAGGTTTTTGTTAAAAGCTGAGAATCAGACTGTTCCGCTGTGCTTTGATGTCAGTGGTGCTCTCAGCCTTAAACTTCTTCATCATCCCAGCAGGGGTCAGTAGTCTTCAGTTTTGCTGAGCTAATGAACTCTTGTTTTTGTATTTCCTGTGAAATAAAATTTCATTATTGGTTCTACCTCATCTCCATTGTTATAACAATCCTCCAACTTGTGGTATGGTTTTTGA